AGGCGTGACCCTATGCTCCCTTTGGACTTAGACGTGACTGCTTGTCTGGTGAGATATTCTCATTTTGGGACAATCGTGACCACGTCTTTTGTCAAACACAAGACAAGACGACATATATCTCAAATGAAATCTCTGACGAACCACCCTACTTCATGTTCAAATGAAGTACGCGGCCACGCCTTCCGCGTTCTAGGGATGAGGAGGATACGTACACCACAAAGATAACATAAAAGGTCACTCTCTTCACTCCCATGCATGAATATTTGGAGCAGATAGGGTTGGGGGTAACCTTCCACAAGTTATTCCGCAAACCAGATTGTAGGTAGTGTTCATAGTTCGCATGATCAAAGATCTTGTGATTCAGTAGTTCTTATCTCCCGAACTAATCACTAGGCGGCACCTACCTCTTGTCGGACATTCCGAACACGGTACATTATCGGGATGCACTATGAAATGGCAGTGACAGCACGACGTCCTCCTCCAGTGCTCGAAAAATGACCTCCTGAAGGGATTAACAGATTGATTATATACGCTGTTTTCACGAAGGACAAGTGAGCAACACGCTATTAACGCTGCCCAGCGCTTGTCACCGATGACAGCCACGTTTTTATGAGAGCTAACTCTTGGTTAGCCAGACACGGTGAATGACAGCATTCGATTAGAGTGAAAGGCAGACTGCACAGGCCCTCTGTCCTGGCCATGTGCGAGTTGAATGGGTCCGTAGCCGCAGTAGGGCACCACTTTCTTCGGTCAAAGCAGACGGAAAGGGTGCTGGAGGACACGCAGGTGCCGACTCCATGCGCAGCCCGCGCCACCGTACGGCCACTCCGGCCGACCCATAGCCGAACGCCTATTTGCCTGCGCATTCTCAATTCTGATCGCTCTCTAGCTCAGCTGCTTGTTCGCTGCGGTATTTTGTTATCGACTCAAGTGCTGCTGAATCGTGAGTATAGCGCGCTCCAGGTCAGGAGACGGCACCCGGGTATCACTGGGAGGGATACTGCTCTCAAGATGCAACTTTTGACTAGATCGTCGTCCTCAGAGGCCTAAACACGGCTCGAGCATTGGTTGTACCTCAAGCTGTGTTTGGGCATCCGAGGACGGCGAACTATGAGGATTTCCTCAGGGACGAATGCAGTTTCCCTTTGTTCCCACCACGACCTGGTTGGAGGGGTCGCAGCAAGCTGCCTAGGAAACGACTGCAATAGAAAACAACATCTCAATAAAGCAGCTTTACTATTTTCAGGATCGTCGACGCATCAAGTCTCTGATTCTGAATCTGACCGACAATCTCGTCAGCACTCTAGCGGAGAGGTATCAGACAATCTTAACTTATTTGTGATCGCTCTGAACACATATCTCTTGTCCCCTTTACTTCAGACGACGCATGTTTGAGGAAAGGAATAGCGTCGAAGATCTGGACTGTCATGACGAAGTTGTGCGAGCATTCGATTTGATTTGTGTGGATATAAATAAGGTTTGGCATTCGGTACTTTATTGCAATAGAGGAGCCTGCAGGCGTAGCTACAAGCCAACCCAGATATAGGTACCTGGAGAAGGCGTTCACGTACCAGTGAAGTAAATAGTAGTAGCGCACGATTGCCAGTCACCCAGAGCGGCTCATGGCACTAACGTATTCTTGTGCTGTCCACGTAGTCTCATGTACACGCTCTTTACGCTCCTGCTTGAACCGGCAACAGTCTACCTAGGCAGCGACAACACCTATATCAGCGAAAATGTCGTTCCTGAGAGCAGAGTTGTGTCTCACTGTCGTTCCTGAAAGCAGAGATGTGGACTGTGTCTCTCTGTCTCAGCATCGGCAAAAAAAATATGACTGGAGATCTGGTCCTACTCTTGCTCATTTCCGTAGGTAACTTCTTCCGGATTGACCAAACTAAAGCGCACGTAGGTACGTCGCGTTCACCGTAGTGGTCCTCACAGCTCAGCGGAGGAAATGTAGTGCGGAGAGCTATACGTGTGCTCATAGCGGCAAGATTGTGGCGCGGCTACGCAATAATCATTCCTGAAAACCAGAGAGCGGTGGTGTAGTGGAAAATGGTGCCACTTTGCTGCGTGCTCAGGGGTCCGGTAATCTGCGATAGGATTCCGTCACGGCCCACCAAGCCTTCCATTTCTCCGAAGGGAAACGTCTGTACTATTCCCTTCTGGGAGAATGAAAACCCCTGAACTGAACTTTAGCTGGCCCCCGCAAGCCATTGCATAAGTCACATCGCATTGAAGTAACGCAGTGCCTCTGCGTGGGTGTGAATTTCTGGGAGACAGCTACGACAATCGTAATTTGTCGCGTTGCCGCACGGTGGATTGTACGGCGATTAGCGGCCAATTCCTGGTTTTCATTCTCAAGCATATGTTGTCGATTGAAGTAGCGAAACTCAAATGAATTCAAGAGTAGACAAGACTCCATAAAGACTCTCGATATCAAATTTCGTCTTCCTTTCGTCCCTCGAGTTCGAACGGGCGGACAGGACAACTCGTCCGCTGGACGCGTCGTCTCTTGCCACGCCTACCAGCGCGGCACATTACAACTGTCACATGACGGAAATACGCAGCACCCCCTAAATGGGACTAATCACTCAGGTTTCACCGTTATCTATCCTTTATCAAAACATGTTTTCAGTACGACTATGCTCTCAAGTACATCTACGTGCTGAATAACCTTTGTATCGAATTTGGTGATGCGGATCAAATCATCGCTGCTATGTGGACGACATGTTCGAATAGTCGCTTTCAGTTCTTTTAGACCATTACCCTTCTAAAGCCTTTTCCCTAACCACTTCACATTGATTCACATTCGCATTTTACTTCTAACATCGATTGTTTGTATATCTCCTATTCGCAATGCTTGCCTTTATAGTCAGTATAAATCTGTGTGGTAAATATACCTGTAAGCATTTAAGAATTCACAGTTAAAGCATAGCCTCTAAGCGCTGTATGTTAGTCTGCGCAGCCTCCACTAGCGTTCCGAGCGCCCGGCAGCGTCAGCGACTAGGAAAGTATAGATATCGATCTAGCGTCTGCCAGCGTTCACCAGCAGCCAGCAGCACTTTGAGGGCTAGGGAAGTATAGGTATCGTCTAGCGTCTGCATCGCCTACCGATCGAACCACCAAGCATTACTTGAAGAGTGCAGCACGATAGCAGTGTGGTACCAGCTTGTGTGGCTACCCTCAGTAGCGCCACTATACTCGTCTACAGCAGTTTGCTCCTCCTAGTCGCTCCAAACCTTCACGTCCCGGGACGCCTGCATGTCCTGTCGTGCGACCTGATCAAACTGGCTTGGTTAGACGCTAAATCAGACGCTAGATATATGTATACCTTCCTAGTCGCTCGACGCTGCGTCGCTGCCGGGATGCTGTCCCGCAAGCTGAACGTAGCTTCGAGGTTATGTTCCTTCCGCGACATTCCTTCATTCAGGACCCTATGAACTTTGCAACAGACTACGGCTGGGTGGAGCGTCAACTCCCGCCGGCATCCTTATACTTAGCTTAGCTTCCTAGCCTAGTCGAGCTTGACAACATAGCACAGAGACAGCCTTATGCTGCGAGTTCAGAAGTGACCGCCTCCACACCCACCAGATGATGGCGCTTGCGCAGAGACCGGCAACGAGTATGGGAAGTGCCGGCCTCCTTCAGCGCCGGCAGCGGCACGACGACCCGTTTCATTACTTTCATATACCCTTGTCGGACTGCATCGAAGTTCAGTTTGACCAAAGGAACATGGTAGACACTTATGCCTATTTTTTGATCATACGATTGTCATTCATCCGATTAATACCACCCAAAGATCGGCACTCATTAGGCAGGCGCAACGTCGCACCGGCGATCCGCCATAGTGGGCCGGCGAATCACGATTTCACGCACAACCCGAGCACATGGACTCGCGTCAGTGCACTAGAAAGGCGTCGAAACGCTTTCAGCGGTTTTTGAAGACGACTATTGTTCGGAGAACACTCGACCAATTAAATGCTCGCGTTGTGACAAATCTAATGTGCCAAAAAAAAAAACACGAGGACAAAAACAAACCTCTGACGGAACCTTTCCATTGGAATAAATTCAATAATCCTTTATCTTTTACATGTATGCGGCAGCCATTAAAACGATCGGCAACACCCGGATGCCTGTTCCAGTACTAACGTGAACAAATTGAAATTAAAAGTGCAATGTAGCCATATAAACTCACTAACAATAAGATTGGGGTTGCCACTAAAATCGTTAATCAAAACCAAGACGCCCACTGTAGCTGAGAGAGGGCTGCTTACGCCGGGCGAGCACGGAAAAGTTCCTTTCCGCCTTAAGCGCAGACAACTTATCGTTTCTCGACTCCAGTACAGGATTAGCCGGCTGTGCTGAAGAACCCTTGTCGTGCCGCTTGCCCTTCCTCTCAGATACAGAAGGTCGACTTTAACAATAAGACTTATTGTTAGAGGGGATTCGTCATAACCATCTCTGAAAAGAACTTTGTAAGCGAGTATTGTAGTACAGGATTTGCAAGATAAGCTCTAACAACCAAGAAGTTTTGTCCAAATGGACGTTTTTGCCTGGAACTTTGGAATCATCAAACTCATCACAGACCTGGTTCAGATGTGAATCATGAAAATGAGCTAGAACCACGTGATCTTTCCAAATTCGCCGGGTGGTTTCCAGTGTGTGGGTAAGAAGACAGTCTTACCAAGTAAGAACAGTTTTACTGAGTGAAACTGATGACTAGGTTTTGAATGGCACATGCTAGTCCGAGGATTGCGAAGGTTGTGATCAGATCAGGCTGAATAGAGGTCGTCGGTTCTTCAAGCCCATTCCGTCCGGCACCAATGACAAATACGGTAGCTTACTGCTAATACCTACAGATAGAATGAGATTTGACTAATGAGATGGGAGAAATGTATCGGGATTTAAAACATCAATAAATGATGGAAGAAAAATCGCAAAGAGAATTATTCACAGGGAAAAGAAAGCAGGCGCTTTTGGGAAACCACATAAGTCCACATGAGTGCGCAATGGTAGTCTCACATGAAACGTCTTACGAGTCACAGACCTCGTTAGGCGCCCGTAAACCACCAGAGCAGCAACTACCGTCAAGGAATACGAGCTGAACTTAACACCTTCACTTTTTTTCGATGAAAAAGTTATTCTGTTGTTTTCGGCTTGAGAGGGGCATTTTACATAGGGCACGACCTGCGGCTGGGGAAAATTTTCGGGAATTGCGACCCCCCCCATTTTCGTCCTCTGCTACACCCCCGCCCCGCTCCCCATCCTATCTGCTCTGTATTGCCTCACTTCACAACTTTTTCAAGCTTCCCACCACAGCTTTTATCGAGCTTTCCCGGAAACTCACCAGTTCCTCATCAAAATTTTGACGTCAAGCAGGGGTCGGAGGGGTATAGAACAAGAGAAATGGGAAAACTCAACAACCGAACAACATGGAAAAGGAAAATTTCTCTTGAACGCGAATACGACCTATTTTTCCCTTTAGGACCAAAGACGACATCCCCCCCCGCTGGGGATTTCCTAACCTAGGACGTGCCTTGATTTTACATCTAGCTAGTTTGTGCTGTTTGTTCCTGTTCTTACACGTATTACCTTGGTGTTACTTGTCAAGTGCGAACAAAGTTCCTGTTCTGGCATAGCCTTACGGGAATTTGAAGGTCTCTACAAGATGCACCAGCAGTAATCCATAGAAACCAGCAAAATGCTCCCACTAAGCCGAACTGCGGTCTATTGCGTATTACTGCAGAACAGAGCTTTATGAAAGAAAGTCGAAAAAAAACGAGTATATGCCATCGATGGTCAGACTGCGCCTTTGGGACAAAATAACCCAAGCGATAAAACGAATGAGCCCACCCGACGAATAAATTCACATACAGTTCAATCAAATTGGTTCATGTACAAATATGAAAACTATAAATATACTTGGCGATTATCTAAACGAATCCATCAGTAGCTCTCATCTCTCCAAGTGATAGCCTGTTTCTCAACAAGCTTCTTGAATATGCCGTCTTTTATCTGCATCAGATCCTCGAAACTGCCTTTCTCTGCTACACTTCCTTTGTCCAAAACGACGATTTGATCTGCATGCTTGATTGTGGACAACCTAGAAATGGAATATATACCGTTTTCACTTCAAATTCACCATTTCATACCAAATTCACCACTTCTCGAAACAAATTCACCACTTTTCAAATCAAATTCACACATTTCTCAGACTGGGCAGTTATTGCCGCAAATTTCGCTCTGTTTTCACGCGCTTTCTTCACATCATGATTTCTAGAGTGCTACGGGTAGCCCCACCTTCCACGGAACGCTCCACCCACTCTGTAGGAGCCCCGCCGACTTTTGAAAAACGTCTCCAATTGGCAGCTTACAAGGGAGGTGTTTCAGGTCATGGCGCGCTTTTTGGAAATGGTTTGTTGTAGGGGTCCATACAAGGGTCACAAAAATGGGTTTCATTTTTGCTATGCGTTTCTGGGTAGGTCAAAAACTGAGTGAAAAGAATTTGACAGGAATGGGCGGTTTTAACAATGTTAATGGGCTCCGTTCTGCTTGTAC